TACTGTGTCTGACAAGCCTCCACCTCTACCTCTTCCAAGAGTTTCTAGGTAAGAATGGCAGTATCTGGGACTACTGGGACACCAGTACACTATGGCAAGGAACACGGCATAATACTCCAGCACAACTACTGAGAAGAGGATCTTGTCCTAGAGGTGGCTTTTGGCACACTACACAGTGCTGTCTGCCAAGTCAAGGAACCAAAAGCAGAGAAACAGCCCAGGAACATGCCCTCAGAACAGCAGTAAAGCAGTCGAACTACTGTTATTGATGCTGACATTTTAACCAAAATATTCTGAATCCCAACCCTCCAGTCAGTCCTAGAAGTGACCAGGGATACTCTTAGCACCCCATCTCTGTGACCTGGAAGAAGTGAAGCTATCTGAAATTATTAACACTAAGCATGAAAGATTCCTTTTCTTAGGTTTTGAGACCACACCATTGCTCTAAAGTGCTGATACCTTAAGATGATTCATCTCAATGAAGATAGAGAAAAGCTGTAGAACCATTATTTTGGGAAAACTAGGAACACGAATTACCAAGCAGTATTTGATCTATTTGTTGTAGTGTTAGGATGGAATATGATAGTCTTTCAAGAATCACCAGTCCCAAGGAGTTGCCTGTCTTGGTCAATATGAGCATTGCAATTCCCTTTATTTTGCTGTGGCCTTGCCTGAGACTCAAGATACTGTTCAAAACCAACAAATACAAACGTTATATTCATAATGTATCTGAGTACATATATATACACATATATATATATATGTATGTATATACATGTGCGTGTGTATATATATATATGTATATGTATATATGTGTATATATACATATGTAATGTATCATAATTAGTCTGAGTACCGTAATATGATAAACCAGGGATAACATCTACAAAATGGGAATAGTCTAAGATTGAAGCTTCAAACACTACTCAAGTCAAAACTTAGCCAACCTTAGAGTGACTCTAGATGTGAGAAGAATGAGTGCACAGGAGAAGCAAAGCTGCACAGAAACCATTTCAAGCAGGTTAGAGAGATCTTTATAGAATTAGAGCATTTTAAATAATGTTTAATTTGATAATTTTAATTCTGTAGTCCAGATAAGATACTCTAATAAATTCTATTTTGTAGATTTAAAAGCATTAACAAAAGATTTCCTCCTTACAACAGAGTACTGTGTGTCAATTGCAAATCAAAGGTAATGTGAAGGACAGAATATGTTCCTTTGTTTGCTTCTTTTTTTCTGCCTCATCCACAAGCAAATCCATATATTTGACCAATATCTTTCTGAAGAATATGTGTGATGGTGTTCTCTTTGATGACATGGGACACTAAATCCTTGGATATTTGCATTTTACTGGCCAGACAATGGCAACAGTAGAGGGCACAGCAAAGCAGGATTAAATTGTGATATTTTAAGCAATTTCTCAGCAAACTAAAGTGGCACATTGAACAAAGTGAAATCTATGGGTTTGAATCACATAGAGTTGAGTAGAAATATGTATTTTTACCATCTTGAAGCACAATGTGTGCACGACCAATGAAATATTCACTACTGCTGTCAAAAGGCTTACCATACAAAGACTGAAACAGAAGGAAACAGAATCACAGGAGATCCTGCCACTAGGTTTTTTTGCAGTCTAATTTGCTTTGAATGTCTTTCCATAGATCATCCTGAAAAGCTTAAACTTCAAGGAGAGACAATGTGACTGTCATTAACTTTTCAAGTTGCACAAAGTAAACAGTGGCATTTAAAAATAAACTATGCACATGTTGGAAGGCCAATTGTTTAAGTTTTCCAACCCCAGGATAGCCATCTCTTATTTAAAAATTCACCTGTTCTTACTTAAAAATTCATCTGTTATAAAGGCCAGTTTAGTTCTGGTTTTCTGTAACATGAAGTTTAGCTACAGCAAATAATTCATATTGGACGAAATATCAAAGCACTTTTGAAGTTTGAAAGATTTATATTCTTGGCATTCTAGATCAGCATTATAAAATAGTCCTTGTTTCATAACAAGGGTCTAATCTTAGCACCCTGTTAATCCTAAATATTACTTTGTCCAAACAACAGAGCTGTTGTTTCTACAACTGCAACACAAATTGCTCCTTGATTTGAATAGCCAGTATGTTAGAATTTATATTAGCCTTTTGTAAAAAATGGTATGATCTTTTATTAAAATATACTATTTTGATGAGTGACTTTAAAGTGGATGACAGAAAACAAACACATATTCCAGCAAGGGATAGATGGTACTGTCCCCAGTAATATTTTCCAGTTACAGCCATTTTGACCATCTAGACAAAATGAACCTTGAATCCAGATAAATTTTAAAACTTAAAGTAAGATTTGATTACTGAGCACAAAGAATTCCAGACAATTGAAACAGCTACTGGGAATCTCTTAATCTGGAAATTAATTAGAGAAGAATGACATTTCTTTCTCACAATTGCAAAAGTTAATGTTGTTAATTCTAGGAACTGGCAATAAACATTCAATTAACACTCACAGCCAGTTCATTAAATCTTTGGTGATATAAATATATTTAGCATTTACGTGGTCATTGCCAAGGTTTATCCTATTTTATTGAGGCCAAGAGTGCAGAGTGATGGTTTACATTTTTAAATTATTCATTACATTCAGCTGATGTGCTCGGATTCAGACCCAATCACCATACAAACATACATTGGTACGTTTCAAACTTGCTCTTACTCCTATTTTTATATTCTTAGCACCTTAAAACCAAAACAAATTCACTGAAGTGCATATTTACACTATGTTTGAATGTGTTTTAACAAAGTACTTCATTTTGACTGACTATTATGTGTCACATAAAGCAACAAGGGTCAAAATCAGAAATAATTTTAGTCATCAGTAAAGTAAAAATAGAGCAATGTCATATTCTTGTAAATTTTCAGAGCTTATTAACTCAAATAAAGAAGATCTTTTTATAAACCCAGTGCAATTCTATGCCCCTTTCCCACACTCTCTATAATGCCTGTTTTATTGCATCTATAATGGATCTTTTGAATAATAATTTTTAAAACCCACAACATGCTTCTCTCTCTACATTTCAATGTAAACTTCACTTCACTTGCATTTAGTTGCACCTTGTGTAGACATACAGCAATGCAAATACTCCAAGTTGACACAGTGACCTGTTTTGCTCTTAGTAGCTGCCAAACTTTATTTCTCAAGTACCATTTACCATACAAATGACACTTTTTGCCCATTGTTAAAATTGTACATCATCTTGACTTCCAGAAAATAACATGAGTTCCACTATCACATAACTAAAAAAAAAGAGACATTTACAAGCAAAAATTAAACATATATTTTGTAAAATAATAAACATCAGCCCTCAAAAATAAAGCACTGTTTTGCCTTCAGAGATTCCTAACACATTTCCAGAGTCCACCTACGCAGATGAATACCCAAATGACTGTGAAGACTGTTCACACTACACTGTTAACCTGGAACATGATCATCATAGCTAAATAGCCACCTAATACATGAAAGAAAGCCTTTCCCCCAAAGTTGCTCCACTCCTCCCATGAAGCTACCAGTCATCTTCTTTACTCGTTTGACCATTCTCCACAGCTTTACAAGTCACATTCCTAAGAGATGCCATGTTCTGGAGTTCCCTTGTGGTTCTTTGATTCTTTTCTGAAATCATTCCTCCCCTGTTTGCTGGTTAAGGGGGGCACGTCTTTGCTGCGAGGTAGAGAAATACGTAAAAGTAGAGTTCACAGGTTTTAAGGAAGTGGAAAGAAATGGGAGTTAAGCTCTAAAAGTTCAGGACTCTCTGGAGTGTATGGCTTGCTGTTCCTCAAACTCCAAATGCAAACCAAGATCTATTGCAAAAAACCCAAATTATTGTAGATTTATATTGCTGTCTGACCTGAATACACCAAGAGCTACACAGCAAATCTTGGGGATTCTCCATTTACTCTCAGGTTGTATACAGGTCTGGCTTCAAAAATGTAGGTGGGGGCACACTTCAGAGACAGATCCTTCGAGAGAGGAAAAATGTTAGAATCTGAGGGCTGATTTTTAGAAACCCTTCTATAAAACAATCAGCCTGTTCCATTTATTCTGCTATTAACAGTAAAAGTTCAAAGCAAACTTCTGAAGGGCAATGAACCTTCTCTCCGTTTGCCACCCCTCATCAGATTTGATCGTGCAGCTTTTTCCATCTTCTTGTACGACAGGGACCAAGGTTTTAGGTCTTTTCAGCCCTGCAAATATATATATATAACCAGCCACACACTGGCTAAGAGGACAGGCATATCCTGAAGGAGGGAGTAACACTTAGAGCTGCAGCTCCACCTTTAGATAGAAATCGGCATTGGAAATACCAACAGCAGAAAAAGCACCCGTAGCAGCTGAACACTCACACCGAAGGCAGGATACCTGTGGCAATGGGATGTACGATGCTGGACAGTCTCTCAAGCAGCTCCCAGTGTCAGCTGCTGGCATGGCTGTCCAGGTGCCCCTGGACCAGGCCTGCCCCTCGTGCACTCCAGCAGTTTATCAGTAACATCATTTTCCAGTCTCAGAAGAAAACTCACATGGTGTAATGTCAAGAGACACCTCTCTTGCTCTCCTAGATCCTCTACTCTTTCCTGGTCCACGTTTAGGTGCCTTGGCATGTATACCACCCAGAAAATCAGTCAGCCTTGCCTCAGATGTCCCTGCTGCCTCAGAGAGTGATGTCTGTCCAGTTAGCCACCACTCCCTGCCCAAGTGGTCCGCAGGCTCCAGTGGGGACCTGCTGCCCTGCAGGACACATGGCCAGGCCAGCAGGCACCTTCCCAGCACCTTCCCCTCCGAAGGACTTGAGGTGCTCATAGCACACCTAACACAGGCTCCAGAGGAATGGAGCCTGGAGGAGGACGCTCAAGTGGAAATGGTGAATCTGAAGGAAGGATATTCCCAGTGGGGTGTACTCAGTTATGTGGGAAAGAAGGGAACTGGAGGGGACAAGGGGCAGAAGGGGGGGATCTCAGCGAGGGGTGGTGATGCCCAGCAGGTGGGCAGGGACGCGGGCAGCCAGCAGGCAGGCCAGCACAATACCGACGAGCTGCAGCAGCGCCAGCCCCAGGGCAGCGTTGGCAACATAAAACATGTTGCTGCCGACGAAGGCGGACACGGTGCCGAAGCAGCCGTCGCGGTGCAGGCTGCGCGCGTCGGGCGGGCTGCGCTGGCAGCCGCGGCGGGCCCGGCAGCAGCTCAGGGGCACCGAGCCGTTCTGCTCCAGCCCCCAGGGCGAGGCCAGCCAGTCGCGGTAGCTCTCCACACCGCAGCAGGACAAGGCGCGCTGCAGCGCGTCCAGGGCGTCCGCCACCCCGTCGTCCTCCCCGTAGGCCAGCAGCGCCCGGCGCAGCCCCTCCTGGAAGCCCTGCGCCAGCGTCTGGCGGTACAGGAGCGCCGAGAGCCCGGCCGCCAGCCCGGCCGCCAGCACGGCGGCCAGGAAGGCGCTGTAGGCGCGCAGGAGTCCCCGGTGCTCCGTAGCGGCGCCGAAGCATCCCAGGAAGCCCCAGATGATGACAGCGACGCCGGTGGCCAAGAGGATGGCGGGGGCGCTGGGGTAGTCACTGGCCGACAGCGCCAAGTAACTGCCCAGAGACACCTTGGCCCAGAGGCCGATGATGAGCATGGTCAGCCCCGCTGCCCAGAAGACGAAGCTGAAGGCCATGAGGGACAGCTTGAGCAGGGTCATGGTGCCCTCGCGCCCTGGTGTCGTAGGGAGGGCGGTGGCGGTCACGGTGAGGGCCTGCCGCGGCCGTCGGTGCCGCCGGCCGGAGCGGAGCGGAGCACGGGCGGTCACGGTGAGGGCCTGCCGCGGCACTGTTGGAGGTGCGGCCCCGCCGGCTCCCCGAGCAGCCCTCGGTGCTGCCCGGTGCGAGTGCCGCCGCTCTTCCGCCCCGTGCCCCTTTTGAGGGCGCGGCCCGGGGCGGGCCGGCGGCGCTTGGCCGCGCTGCGGGGCTCGGCGGGGGGGTCGAGCCGCCCAGGGCGAGCAGCTGCCCGGCCGTCGTCCCCGGGCTCCGCTCTCGTCTCCCCGGGATAAGTAAACGGGTGCGACTCCAGCTGCTCCTGCCCGCAGCACTGCGCACCCTCAGCCGAAAACATTCTGTAGCAGGAAAGCTCGGTGTGAAACTTGCCCAGGGTAAACCTGCAGCCCAGGTTTACCCTGGGCAAGGGACTAAACTTTTATAAGCACTAGGAGTAACACTTAACACACAGATAACCTACAGGAAGCACAACGAGTGGTTTTGGTTTTATTTCTTTAATTTTGGTTTTATCTCGTTTACTGCATCAAGCTGTACTATTAAGACCCTTTGTAGAAATAAGCATAAATCTGTACCTGACTATTAACTAACTACACATTCAGTCAGTCACTCAGTTTAGATTTTCCCAGCTGGAAACTATTTTCAGTGTGGCCTGGCCCTGTTAAATATTCATTTGATTTAGCCCATGATAACACTGAGCCGCTGAGAAGACATTAAAGCACAGCAAGGTACTGTTATGTAACTAGTGGCCCAGTAAGCTGCAAGAAGAGATCCCATCATCAGTGTAGTCTCATTGCAAAAGAGCAAAAGATAAGCTACCCCTACAAGTTAGGTTAAAAAAAAAATTAGTAAGAAACTTTAAATGAGACAGTGTCCCAGTCAGAGGTAGAATTAGCATCTCCAGGGGTTTAGTTTGTATGTTCAACAGTCACACTGAAAAAAAAAGGCTGGAGTACCCTGTGGTTCACATCTTTATCAAACCCTTTTGTGACTGAATTCTGAGGTTTACTTGTTTCAGTGGTAACATTTTCTTGATTTCTTTCTGTTACAGATTTAGGGAGGGAAAGGAGGTCCTTTGTGTCACATTTTAATGCACAGGCTTAATGTTCAACCAGAAACTCATAGCTGTCAAACCATTAATATAGCATAATCACAACTGAAAAATCACTTGTTCTTTATTAGAGGCCTTGAATTCTGTCCATTCTCATAATCCATACTTCTGGAACTGTTTGTGTAAGTAGAGGAGGTAGGATTGGACTCCTTGGCCATATATGAAGCCATAAATGATGAAACAGCTTCAGTGTCTGAAAAATAAACTTACTAGAATAGCTTGATTTTTCAGACATTAGCCAAATCCTAAATTATGTTTACATCTTACTAATAAAAAGGTTAAAGAATCTCATTAAATCATACAAGTAAATCAATTTCTATTGTATTACATGTGATATGTGGACTGGCAATACGATGAAAGAGAAGTGATGATCCATTCCGTGTTGTTTTGGAAAGCAAAGTGTTGTGAAAATACCACAAGAAGGGAGGATTCAAATGTGCCTGAGCTACTAAGTCAGAGCAGCAACACCAATTATCAAAGAGTGGTTACAAATTTGGGTAGGGCATTCACTGAGAGTGACTCTGGGAAATGCAAGCTAATATATCCTAGAGAAAACTGGTGCTTAGTGACAGCAAGAAGCTGCCTGCCAAACTGTGCGTCTGAAGGACATGGGGGCGATGGGACATACCTAATTAGGCAGTGCTCTGAAATACTGTTTGGCAAGGAAAAGCCATCTGCTTGAAGTATGAATTTTCCTGTTTCTTTACTCTTCTGGTTTGGTAATATCTTAAGTGTTACATTTTCTTGGCAAATGCATGGTGATTTTGATATAAAGTGATCATCTTGACTTCCTGTCGAGATGATCACTTTTTTTTTTTTTTTTTTTTTTTTTTTTTTTTTTTTTTTTTTGCTGGAGTTTACACTTGAGATTCTGAAGTGACTATTTCCCATCATTCTGTAACAGAGGGGAAGAACAATGCAGGGATTCTTCATGGCTTTTCAAGGAAAATGAGCCTTTTTGTGGTTCTTAGTTCATGACTATTTAAGGTACCTCTGGCTAGAAGAATGAGTGGCAGTACTGGCGCAGACAGCAAGATCAGGTACTTAGGAGCTCTACCACAAAAAAATGGGTAGCAAGAGTAGCTTAAAAAAGTATTGGTTTAATGTTCTTAACTGTATTTTCCTTAGAGACCTGAATGAGATTTTCACGTCATGATTTACACATAGGTACTATAGCTGCTAATGTACCTGCAAATTTACCTTGGGGAAAACTAGAAGTCCTATGATGCCAGCATAGTGTTCTGCTGGTGTTATACTAGTGTACCTTTGATGTTGTAACTATTTATTATTGGTAGTTTATTGTCTGGCACTATGCTTAAGAGCTCCTCCTATGGACAAGATGCCTACTGGGTGGGATCCCTGTAAATACAAAACAAAGGTGTCTCCTATAGTAAAGTCTGATATTGCAATGTTTCATCATGTTGACTGATTTCTTACACCATAAACTCAAGTCCATGGAGTTCAATAGAAATGTTAATAGGAACAGTGTTTTAGTGTAAGATAAGTTATCTAATTCCAACTGAAATTATTTTTATCTAAAACTGAAAGTTATCTCTATTTTAAATTGAATCAGATGAAACAGAAGTCATGGTTTTACAGACTCCCAGGGCTGTGCTGCATGGATGTGGTGCAAGTCCAGGTTGAATGGGAAAAGATGAACTTGGGGAAAGAGAATTTCCCCTTAATCTTTCCATTCATTCTGGGAAGGAAATGTATCAACATTTCATAACAGAACTCACTTCCAGCTGCAGGTCCCTTCAGTGAAAATTAATAGATTATGAAACACCACGTATTACTTGCCTCACAAGTAATCACAAACCCTTGGTCCAAGAAGAAATATTGGATAAACTGCTCCTGCTCATCAGCAGACTCAGAGATGCAGCCTGGGCAGAGCAGAGAAGCATCTGGTGGGGTTCCTACCAGCTTGCATGGCTGAGCAGTTGTCTCCACCTGCACAACTATGATCCTAAGGAAGAACTCAACCTACTGATCCTTGGAATGTACTAATGTACTTCACCAACTGTACTAGCACTATTTCCTTTTTTTCACAGCGAGTTTATTTTAGGAACTCAGATGTGCAATCTCTGCTACATATCAGTTACTTTGCTATTAATAGCAATGATCAGAGATGCTATGAATTAATGATTTACTTCTAATGTGTTTTTTGACCTTAAAGTAAAGCACAAAATTTAATTTTAGCTGTACCTTCACTATAACTAGAGGAAAATAGAATCCATGCCTTGAGCAAGTCTCTCAAGGAAAAATTCAATGCACTTTCCACTTACCCCACAGAAAATTATTATATGCTGGACATCAGATATATTTCAACACTAGTATATCCAAATAGCATGCAGGCTAGGTTGGTGGTAATGTGTCAAAATACCCTGTCAAAGGAATAAAAAAACAAAGTAGATCTTTAAATTTTTCAGGGAGCAATGAGAAGACATGATCAGATTAAACATTGGCAAATTTTACATTTAATTTTAAAATATTTGAATATATTTCTACTAATTCTCTGTTTCCACTTGTTGTATTAGGAGCTGAGGGTATTAAGCATTTCACATATGGGATCTGTGCATAGTGACAGCAGCTCAGTGTACTTGGCAAGTCATCATTCATATAACACTTACCTACACTTATCAACACAGATTTCCATACTTGAGATTTACAAGATCTGCAGCAACAAAAATTTCTTCCACTTTTCACTTTGTTGGTATAATTTTGTATCACCTTTGCTGGGTTTGAAAGTTAATGACTTCATTTCTCTATAGCCCCTTTTCCTGTCTTATCTTAAATGCCATGATACTAATTGTGGAGCAGCCAATCCAAAACAGAGTAAATTAGGGTAAACTAGGGGCTCTCACTGCATAGCACAACCACTTCTCTTTAATTTTATCACAACAGTGGAGGCTTCCAGTTCACAAATGCTGATGCAAGGGAGAAGAGTGTTCTTCTCTGGATGCATAAGAGACCCCAATACACCATGTATTTTATTTTGTTATGCAACCAATGGACAGTAGACTTTTTTGTGATATTGTAAGTGTAGCATTATGGAATGAACAGCTGTCATTGCTGATTATATAAAAAAGATAATGCACACATCCTGATGTATAGAGGTGATCTATATGTTGCCTGTAAAGTGTTTTTATCAAAAAATACCTATCAGTAGTCCCTTGCCTCCTACTGGTGCTTGGCACAAGGTTAGTGGGGAAAAGGAATATTTGGTTACAAGCAAGGTTCATGCTTTCTGTGTCCCTGGGTGAAGAATTGAGAAATCTCATGGATAATTGCACAGCTGAAGCATTTAGCAGCAGAGGTCCAGTGCAAATGTAGGTATTCCACATGTACCAGCTGATTCCTACCTGCACACGTATCTTCTTTGTCTCTGCTGTGCTTCTGTGTTTTGGCAGACCTTGCCATCACAGGAGAGGACAAGGTGACCACGCACCCTGTGTGTAGGCTGGTGAAAGAGCACCACTATTATCCTGGGGTCACTCAAACCTGTGTCCTTGCTGAGGTGAATGGTTACAGCTTTTCTGTAATGCAACAACAGTAGAACAGCAGAGGTTTTTCCAAGCCTTGGGGCCTGGATCTGTTTTTTTACGGCTTCCTTGAATTGCTCACATGAAGTGTGCTGTCCTCAAGCAAGCATTGCTCTTGCCTGCTGTAAAGGTCAGGAAAGGCTTATTCAAAGGAAACAGCCTGTGTGCAAACAACATCCCACACTGGCATCATTGCTTTAATCAGGACAATCATTTGTCAGCCTGCCTGTCCTCTCTGATACTTAGATATGGAGGATCTGGTTTCGCTCTCTTATGA